CCAGTTAACCACCTCTTCCTCTAGGAAGTGTTTCCTGTCCTGCCAGATAGAAATGGCACTTCTTTCTTTTATGTGTCCCATACATACTTTCCTTTAAAGCACCTGTCACTTCTTACTGTACCTACTTATAAACCCAGAACATGTCCATCTCCAATATATGGCTAATGCTACTATCTCTCAAGAACGGAAAAATAAATAACCAACAATTTAAAAAATATTTCTTTTATGCATCAGTCAGAGAGGCAGGGGCACCATCAAGTGGGTTCCAAAGATATTAGTTACATTCTCAGCCAGATCTGTTATACAATGACATTTCCATAGGAAAGCAGGTATTTATTCTTCTCTGAAGATGGTTTGCGAATATGAGACAATTGTGCATGGAAAGGGTTAAGCACAATTCTTTCATATTATAAAGTACTGGATTAGATGTATGGCTGGCTTCCAACAAAATATTATGATAATGGTGATTAACAGTTTAAATTTAAAATCCCGAACCTACTGCTATTGTCAAATACATAGCCTTTCCATCAGAACCAACTCTTGCTTGGGCATCCTTGTTTTCTGGGAGCTTCTCAGTATCATCATTTGTTTTGGTTGTGCTGTGCTCATTACAACCATAATCAGTGCTGTTGAAGTAAAGAGGGCTTGAAACATTTATTGAGGAAAATCAGAGACTATAACTTTCAATATGGATTACACCTCAACATCAAGAAAACAAAGAACCTTACCAAAGGCAACATCATGATAGATGGTGAAAAGACTGAAATTGTCGGAGATTTTTTCTATCTGTATCTATAATTAACATCCTGACAGCAGCAGTCAAGAAATGAAAATCTGCTTTCAAGGACCTCTTTTAAAGTACTGAAGAACAAGGATGACAGTTTAAAGAATAAGGTGTGCCTGACCAACCTATAGTAGGTTTAAGCTACAGCAAGCTTTCACTATGTGTCACAGGCCACTGGATGACACTCAACAACAACAAAAACAAAATGTATCTTCTTCAGTCTTTATTACTATTGTCCAACTTTCACATGCCTATTAAGTAAATGAAAATACCATAGTTTAGGTCAGGTACACATGTTCTTTAAAAAGACATCTTTGCTCTTCAGCTCTTTAAAGAGGTCCTTTAAATTTTGTGAGTGGGTTGTATTTTTGTTTGTTTAGAATCTTATCAAGTAAGTTGTTTCTGAAGATTTTTTCCTTCCCCTCCCCACAGTTGGAAGCTTGTTCTTTATTCTTTTTATACAATCTTATGATGATTTATAGCTTTTCATTTTTATCAGGGCCCATTTATCTATTTTGTCTTCAGCTATTCATGTACATTTGTTATATTTGCTATGCTATCTTTATAAAAGGTTATGTCTTAGTGTTTTCTCCCAGTAAATTTACAGGTTTATGTTAACAGTTTAACATCATGTTTAACATTAACTGTATTGTTTTGGGGTTAAGTTTAGGTAGGCTAAGCTTTTGTGTATGGTGTGAGGTATGGATTCCATTTCATTTTTATATAAGCAGATATCTAGTTTTGCCCACACTATTTATTAAACAATTTCTTATCCATTGAATTGACTTTGACTTCTTGCTAAAAATCACTTGTCCACAGGCTGTTTGGCTTATTTCTGGCTTCTAAATTCTCGTCCACTGGTTTATACGTGTACTACTGAATCAATGCCAGCCATTTTTGAGGAAAGCATGCAGTTTCCTGCTTTGTTTTTCTTCAATATTGCTTTGGTTATTCAGGGTGCAGTTCTTTTTCATAAGAAGTCAATAATTTCTTTTTCATTTCAATAAAGAACAATGTTGAGATTTATTTTGAGATTTGGGTGTAGAAGAACAAAGTATCTGTAGATGGTTTTAGGTATAATAGACATTTTCACAATATTAAGTCTTCCATACAACACATTCCTTACATAAAGTTTTAAATGTACTAGTTGTCAACAATCCTAAGGTATAGGTACAGTTATTATCTCTACTTACAAATGATAATAAGTGCCTCAAAAAAGTTAAGTAACTTGCCCAAGATGAGAAAGTTGTGAATGCAATGCTGAAATTAAAATATTTGGCTTCAGAATCAATGTAATTTACTTCTTATTCTGACCTTTGTGGGCTAATAATGGAGGCAGATGTACACATATTAACCCATGATACAAACAAAGAGACATTAAGAAAGTGAATTAACATTTCACTTGAAGCCTAGGTTGAAATAAAACTTGTATCTTGATGACAACTGTTACTATTTTAAAAAATAATAAAATTATGCATTTCAATCAGTTAATAACACATGCATTTAATGAGGGCCTGCTATGTGTTTACCTGAGGGACAAAGAATCCCAGATATAATCCATTCCTTCAGAGAACTTACATAATACCATATTATTATTTTGAAGATAAGCAGATCATTACATTAAGTGATCACTTAATTTATCTGTTGTTCAAAATATTACTAGAAACAATTTATAAGAAACACAATAGATTGCATTACTTTAAGCTTACAGGTGCTGTTTAATTTAAGAAGTCCTAGCCATCTTAGTATCCATTTTATTTTGTATTTAGTTCATTCTAAAAATATAATCTATCCTCAAAGTAATTTGTTACCATCATGTTATTCACACACACTCACACACATGCATGCACATTCATATATTCATCTAAGCATGCACACACAGATGCGTGGTCGTTCATATATTCAGATATGCATGTGCACACACATGCGCGAACAAACATCCTGTGGTTTATGAGGGCAAATCTCAAAGGATTGAGCAAAACAACTGCTGCCCGGGTGTATAATAGGAGCCACAAATTTTCTAGTAACAACATTTAGAAAAGTAAAAACAAACAGGTAATTTACTATTACTTAACCCAATATATAGAAAATGATAACATTCCAACACGTGAGAAGTCCAAAGACGACTCGCAATCATCTCATTTATCCTGATGCACAGTGACCCTGCAGGACCAAGCAGAATTGTCCCGAGTCTACAGCTGGAATCTGCACAGGAGCGCAATGTCACATTTCTCACCCACATGTGACTAGTGGGTTCAAAATGCCAGCTGAGCACTATTTAATGCCACAAGGGCTTCTTTTCCAATATACAGTGAATATAAATCATTAACAAGAATCTCACTTTCTATTTTTTAGACTAAAATTCCAGCGTGTACTTTATTCTTACAGCTTATCTTGGTTTGGATCCGCCCCATTCCAAGTGCTGAAGAGACACAGGTGGCAATACTCAACAGTTCAGGGCACAGTATTTACAGCTGTGGCTGGGAGGCCAGACTACGACTGAAAACAGTCCCCTTCTCACATGTTACTCTGCAAAGTCACAAGTTTAAGAGGACCAGGACTTAGATGGATCCAAGTGAAATGTCGTGGAATCACTAATGTTACAGCATGTGATTACATTTAATTGTGTTATAAGCTCCAAATAAAATGTGAGGGTATGGATGAAAGGGCAAAATCGTCTCTATGGATGAGGCCAGCTCAGCAGTAAAAGATGTGTAGTAAAGACTGTTTAAGGACATTCAAGGGCTAAGCCTGCTGTACAAGGAGTAATGACAAGAGCAAGCTATGAAAAAGATCAAATAAGTGAGTGATTTTATAGTTGATCACACCATTGTTACAATCACAGTGAATGGAATTGTAAGTAGCAAGTAACTCTTTAGATACAAAAGCAGAGAACAGAGTAGTAGGAACTTTGAAACGGATGTAAAGAAATGGTAGAAAATTAAAAGATTTATCTGGTAATATCTGATTAATAAATTCTTTACAATCCCTGGACCTTGGTTAGTTCAGTTGCAAAACAAAGTGAGCTGAGCACAAACAAGTTTGAGGTTCCTTATATATCTACAGTGACTTAAAGTTTAGTATTCAAACTTGGACACTTTCAATAGTGAAAGGGGGCCACGATTAATACCTGTTCCTGGATAACAGGCACAAGTCGGGCCTGCATGACAGTTATAAAGCAGTAAAATTCTATTCGACTAATCAGGTACTCCAGTGATCTCTGCCAGGGCAGTGGGCTGATGAAAGTCTAGGCCTGCTTGTATTACCTTGCATGGCCATGGGGCTCTGTGGGCTCCCCACATCGATAGAGGGTGAGGCAATTCTGCATACCCCCAAGCATTTTAAATTGGTTTGAATTTGGAAACAAAGTTCCATATGGACAGAGCTGGACTTGACAGCCTGAATGTATTTACTGAAGACAACAAATCATTGACAGACTAAATGTAACAGAGGTAAGGCCTGGCCTGCTTGTACTCAGAATTTGACTTTGTAATTGTAGCCTCCTTTAGACAGGCCTAATCAATTAGAAGAGGCTGATTTGAACCAGTTACAGGCTCATTACTCTGCATTCCAGTTTGTGTTGATGAAAATCAGTTTCAGTCTGCAGCCTGGAACTCATGCACAGCACTTCCTGCATCCTCTTATATAAACACATCGGAAAATTTAACTTGCAGTCATCCTTCCCTTTTTATTGTAAGAAAACCACTTAGTAAATGGTGATTAAAACAGAACTGTTGTATGTGGGATTTGCGGGCCACACCCAGAAATACACACAACTGAGGAATATGCATCAAGTCAGATCTTTAGGTAGCAAGATGCAATGGTGCAGGGCAGACCTGAGACAGAGGCGTCAGCCTCTAATGAGCCAGCTCTCTCCATTATCTCTGAGAACAGAATAAACTCTCTGTTATTGACAACAAGCACCTTTAGAAAAAAAAAATACATCAGTAGTCAAGGTCTTAGAAACAAAGAGAAGAGCTCCTGTGCGTCACCAAATGACCAAATAAAAAAGAAAAAGGCAAATCTCCCACCAACAAGGACAGTCTTCCTTGAGAAACTTCTAAACAGGAACCATATGAAAATCTGCTTAATTTTGAATTATAGTTGGTGTCAAAAAGTAGAGGGTTGGAGAGTGTGTGGCAGAGCTGATCAAAATGCTATGAAGATTTCAAAGACCTGTAATCACACCAAACTATGATATAACTATGAATCATACCTGGCTGGCACCTCTTTGCAGGTTTGTCAAGGCAGCAAGTCAACAGGAAGAGAATATCAATATATACAGCTCTGGTCACCAAACATGGATTTTGCCTGGGAAGGTAAAGAACAAAAAAGTAACTGTTACTTTCTCTCCTGAGGCTGACATCTTTTGAAAGAGGAAGTGGATATTTTTTACTAGGAGTGTTGAGGCTAAAGGATTATGATGAAAGGGGGGTAACAAAAAAGGATGAAAAATCCTCAGTGGGCAGAAAATTAGCAACTCAAATAAAATAGAAGGGCACATAATGGAGTTCAAGGCTGTGTATAAGAAAATAGATAAAATGCTATGCTCTGTCACCAAATAAAATAGAAAATAAACAAAGAAAAAACAACATCCTATTTCAGTTATTTTGAAAACAAGAAGGTAGAGCTATACTGTTTCTGCCTTAATGGGGCAAATATAGGGGATGGAGGGGGGGAAATCACTGGTCATAAAAATCACTGGTTTAGATCTTTGGACAAAGAGAAGTGCATTCATATAAGACAAAGTGTTTCTAAGAACTGAAAATACGGAGCTAACAAGCAGTAGAGCCAACTATTCCCAATAAATGACTTTCCCCTTTCTCCTTCTTTCAATAAACAGAGATATTTATTTTACTCTAGAACAGGAAAAAGTAAGTGGGCTCAAATTTGGGGAGGGGAAGTCTCACAAGAAAGGAAGAACAAAGGCAATCTCCTAAGAATAAAATTGAAGGTTCCAGATTCCTAGTTTAAACTCATAATGATCATTAAAGGGCCATTAATTTTGCCTGATCATTAAAAATAATAAGGACAGATTTGCATTTAAACTGTGCCTTTGTAATTCATTTCTGTGACTGTGACCCCAAATCAGATGTCTGATCTGGAAAATGGCAACTATCACCTCTGTGGGAGAAGGGACCCTGGTGGCACTGAGTTGCTAACAGAAAGATTGGTAGTTTGAATCCACCAACTTCTGTGAGGCAGAAGAATGAGGCAGTCTGCTCCTGTAAAGATTTGTAGCCTCAGAAACTCTTTGGAGCAATTCTGCTCTGATCTGTAGGGTTGTTGAGGTCTGGGATCAACTCGATGGCAGTAGGCAGTGGACTGAAGTTACCGTGAGAATTTAATGTGGCACAGCAAACAAAATGACAGGCACAGAGTTGATATTCACATATGAACTTCCTGCCCTTCTCTGCCTTCAATGTGGCTGGTGAATGGCAGTCAAATTGGCACAGGTGTTCTGGCGAGTAGATTTCCAGATGGCTTTATCCCTAAACCTTTCCTCTCCTATCCTGTAACTGAAGAATTTTATCATTTCACTAAAACTTATTCACACTTCTCTCCTAAATGGGCATTTCTCAGGCTGGCATATGCTCTGGCATGAGAAACAGACTAAATATTTTTTATTTGATGCTGCTCCCTTGCTTCAAAGGCTCTACAGTGCTGCTGCCCCACTGCATTTCTGCCTCGCTGACTAGTTTCATTTCAGGAGATTCTTGCTCCCCAACTCCTATCTGATTGTAGGCAGTAACTTCTGTGTCTAACTTAGAGCTTGCCTCATTTAGTACTTGCCCATAGTTTAAAGTGCTAACACACGCACATGGCATCATTCAAAGAGTTTTAAAAAGGGCATGCAGTGAAAACCAAGTCCCTGTTCCCCACCTCTAAGCCCTGCCCATATTCTGTTTCTGAGGTAACACTAATACAAGAATATCCTTCCAAGCACATTTCAGTCATGTACAAGCGTGTATCTATGGCTATCCTGCTTGCTTACATTTACTTAAATTGTAGCTTAGTGTTACTTTTTTTCTGAGCATTATACATTTTCACTAATACACTTGAATAGCATTCTGTTAAGAACAGGTATTTGTCACAATTTTCTTAATGGTTGGAAATGACTCTTATTTCGTGGACATATTTGCTCCCTATTGGAATAATTGAAATTGTTTAAGATTCTCTACTACTGAGAATAATGGCCTGGTAAGTCTATTAGCTATGAACTTGGTGCCTGCAAATCAGTGTCCTGAGGAGCAAGTCACAGAGCGGAATTGATGGATCAATGTTTATAAACTTAACTGAATTTAGGCAAAAGGCTATGCCAATTTGCTCTTTCACCAACAATGTATAAGAATTTCAGTTTCCCCAGAATGTAGTCATTGTGCATTATTAATCAAGAGAAAAATTGCTTTGAGAAAGTCAGCTGTCAGAAACCTCTCCAGAGTAATGAAGAGCAACGATGTCAGTATGGAGACTAAGGTGCTTCTGATCAGGCCATCATCTTCACAATTGTTTGCTATGCATCAGAGAGCTGGACAGTGACCAGAGATGATAGAAGGAGAATTGATGCCTTTGAGTGGTGGTACTGGAGAAGAGTAGTGAAAATACCATGGGCTGCTAGGTGAACAAATAGGTTTGACTTGGAGAGGGTAAAAACAGGCTGCTCCTTGGAAACAAGGATTCTGAAGCTTTGTCTGACACACTTTGGACATGTTATAAGGAGGGGCCGGTCCTTGGAGAGGGACATCATGCTTGGAAGGGTAAAGGGACAACATAAGAGATAAAAACCCTTGATGAGATTAATTGATTCAGTCACTAGGGCAATAGGAGGAGGTGTGTCCAAGACAATAAGATTAGCACAGGACAGAGCAGGGTTTAGGTCTCTTGTACTCAGGGTTGCTATGAGTCACAGGCAACTCTGTGGCACATAACAACAAACAATTGAAAAACTATCACCTCTGGAAACAACTCAAGTGCTCATCAACAAAGGAATGGAGAGAGAAGCTTTGGTATATTAACACAATGAAATACTATGTTGAATTGAAAAACAAGGAACTCATGAAATATTATATACAAAATGGATGATCCTGGAGGATATTATGTTAAGTGAAATCTCTCAGTCACAAAAGGACAAATATTGCATAGTGCCACCGTTGTAAAACGGTACTGACATCGGGGTTGGAGGTAAACTAAGAGGGGATAAATAATGTATACTGGATTGAAACAGATGATGGAGAGAATTGCTTAAAAGGGATATATGATTAGGTATTATTGTCATGACAGGAGTCTAAAATGAAAGCAGCATAGTGGACTGGGGGCAGAAGGAATTGTATAAAACTAAAAGAATTATTATTATTATATTTTTTTAAGTTTTCAAAGACAAAAGTGAATGGGGAGTGAACAGGGAAAAAAGTGTGCAACAAAGAATGAATGGAAATCCAAAGTCTCTGTAAACTTTCATTAAAATAAAAAAAAAGGACACCACAACAAGATAAACAATCCAATAGAAAAATGGGCACAGGATATGAACAGGCACTTCACTGAAGATAACATACAGATGGCTAACAAGCATATGAAGAAATGTTTAAAATCCCTAGCTCTAAGAGAGATGCAAATCAAAACAACTATGAGATATCATCTCACCCCAGTCAAAATAGCATAATTTAACAGAACAGCAAGCAAGAAATGCTGGTGAGGTTGTGGAGAAACTGGAACCCTTATTCACTGTTGGTGGGAGTGTAAAATGGTGCAACCACTGTGAAGTCAGTATGGCGCTTTCTCAAAATATTGCAGATAGAGATACCATTTGACCCAGCAATTCCACTACTGGGAATATAACCCAAAGAGACCATAACTGCCATCCAAGCAGATATATTCACACCCATGTTTATTGCAGCTTTGTTCACAATAGCAAAGAGTTGGAAACAACCTAAGTGCCCATCAACAAACAAATGGAGAGAGAAGCTGTGGTATATTCACACAACGGAATACTATGCTGCATTGAAAAACAAGGAACTCAGGCAATATTATTCAAAATGGGTGACCCTGGAGGACATTATGCTGTGTGAAATATCTGAGTCATGCAGGGACAAATACTGCATGGTGCCACTGTTGTAAAACAGGACTGACCTTGGGGCTGGGGAGAGACTGAGAAAGATGGGTTCAATAATGTATACTGCACTGAAACAGAGGAGGGAGAAAACTGTTTAAAAGGGATATGTTATTAGGTATTTCTGTCATGACAGGAGTCTAGAGTGATGGCTACATTGTGGAGTGGACCTGGGGGAGGGTTTGTAAAACAATGAAAGAATTTTTCTTTTACTTTTCCAAGAGGGTAGTGTTCTGGGGCGGGGGGA